GTAGCTCAGAGTGTACCTAAAGAAGGACTGCAGGACTGCTCTACCAAAGCTTGCATCAGCCCTGGAAGACGCGGTTATGGCGTAATGGTTCATGAACGTATGTATCGACAACCATGTAGTAGCCCTCCACGTGTCCAGTGCAGGAACGTGACTGAGGAACATTATGGATTTTGCTTGCAACCTCCTTGGATTAGCTCACACCCACTGAGGGGGCGTTGCTGAAGCTGTTTCATATGCAATCTTGATGCAGGATGTTATCCATTTGGAGATCATCTGTGAAGAGACTGCTTGACCCTTCATGTGATCTGCATATTACACGAACAAATGAGGCGAAGCATAAAAAGGTTTAGCCCTATCCAGATAAACAGCTAGGCACTGCCTGATATCTAATGTCTGGAGACGCTGCTCTTCTGGAGATGAAAACAGCTCAGGAAAGTACACAGGTAAACATACCACCTCGTTCAAATTAAACTGAGAAACCACTTTAGACAAAAAAATTGGATACAGTCATAAAGTCACTGTCTTTGGAGAACTGTGTGTAAAGAGACTCTTCCATTAGAACCTGCAGCTCACACACTCTCCTTGAAGAGGTTATCACTACCAGGAATGCAGTTTTCTGACATGAGCAGAAAGGGACAAGATGCCAGGGGCTTGATCAGAGGTCCTATTAAGGCCACTAGCACTGAATTAGGGTCCCACAGAGGAACTGGCTCTTGGACCAGAGATGTAGACAAAGGAGTCCTTTTAAGAATCTTGCTACCATGGCACTGGAGAAGATTGATCTTCCCTGAACAGGGGGATGAAATGCCAATATCACCTCCAGATACACTTTCAATGAACTAAACAGAAGCCCCAACAACTGAAGGTGCAGCAGGTACTCCAAAATATCCTGGATAGAGGCGTTGGATACGTTGGATTCTGCGGGCTAATGATCACACTGAAAATTGCGTGAGTTTAGCTGAATAGGGCATCCTGGTGGAGGGTTTGCATTAAGGAGGATTTGTTGGACAGCTGCCAAACCCTGCTCTTCCTCTTCATTCAGCCATGCAGCAGCCACGCCGTGAGATCCAGGGAGCTGAGTGCATGATACAAGGTGCAGCCTTGGTTCTGAGTCAGTAAGTTGGGATGGGGAGGAAGCGGTATGTCAGGCTGAATAGACAGTGTGAGAAGGTCGGAGAGCCAGCACTGTCTCAGCCATTCTGGGGCCATGAGACTGAGCTTGGCCCGATACACCTTGAGCTTGAGGAGGACCTGAGGGATGACTGGGATTGAGGGAAAGGCGTACAGGAGAGCTGACTGCCAGCAGAGGTGGAAAGCATCGGATGATGAGCCTGGACTGAGGCCCCCTTCAAGAGTAGAACAGATGACATTTCCTGATGTACCTTGTTGCAAACAGGTCGATCATCAGGATGCCCCAAGCTGCGAAGACGACCTGGAGGACATCTGTCTTCACAGACCACTCATGACTCAGGAAAAAATACCTGCTGAGATGGTCCACGAGATGATTCTGAACCCAGGCAAGTGAATGGCTATCAGAGTAATGTTCTCCTCAATGCAGAATTGCCACAGCCTGATCGCCTCTCAGCGGAGCAAGGTAGAGTTTTCTCCCCCTTGTCTGTTCACATAATACATTGTGGTGGTATTGTTGGTAAGTATGTGAACCAATGAGTCCCTGACAGTCCCAAAAAGCATGACATGCATTATAGATGGCCTGAAGCTCCAGCATGGTGATATAGACGGAGGTCTCTTGCTCCGAACACAACCCCTGTACTTTCAGCAACTGCAAGTGTGCCCCCCAACCCATCAGGGAGGCGTCAGTAACAACCAACTTGGCTGGTGAGGGCCAGACAAAGGGAACGCCTTGGAAAATATTCTCTGGATGCATCCACCACTGTAAGGGGTCCAGGAACAGTGGAGGAAGACAAAACAGGTCTGTACAACCCCCAGGACCACTGGGTAGCCCTGGAGTCGTGGAAGGAGAGTAGCATCTTGTCATTTTTGTCCGAGAACAGTGTTTGGAAAAGGCAAATCCTCAGTGGCTTGATGGACATTAGGGGCAATGCCCAAATTCTGCAGCCAGGAAGCCCGCCTCATGATGACTGTGGAGGCCATCACTCTGATGAGGTGTCCATGATGTCTAACGCAGACAAATGCCCGAAATGCCTCTTGCAAGGCCTTGGGAAGCTGGTCTGCAAACTTTGATGTAGCTGTTCAGTTAAAAAAATCTTACTTGGACAGCAGGCTTGCTGGTTAGCAATTCACATCTACAAGGAAGAGGAAGTGTAAATCTTCCTGTCCATGAGATCCCTTCATTTAGAGTCCCTATCCTTGAGGTCTTAAACCTGCCCCGCAGAGCTCTGTTGTTCACCGCAGTTAAAACTAGGCAATTTTGGGCTGGATGGTAGTAAAACCCCTCAAATCCCAGCATGGAATGAAATAGTGCTTTTCCATGTGCTTAGCCACAGGCACTATCGAAGCCGGTGTGCTCCAGAGGGCCTTAGCCAGTTTGAGACGTGCATCATCGATAGGGAGGGCGACTCTCCCAGGGTCTGATGAAAGACTTCCATTAAGAAACTTCCAGACCAGCTCTAATTATGAACACTGTACAACAGTATCCAAGTTCACATACTGTTGCCCATCCCAGTAGCATCTGAGTGCTTACCATTATTCTAAAAATGGCAACATTATCTTCTTCCATTCTATCAGGTAAGAGTAAATGCTTGAGTAGCATTAAGATATTTTTGTTTGGTTCTGTCACGCTTATGAGCCTCTTCCTACTGGATGACAGTTTTATGGTTCCAATGAAATCTGCTTGTCATGGGAGGTCACTGCTGCAGACAGAAAGCCAATCTCTCAGATTACTACTGCCAATATCAAAGAGGGCTTTGGTGCCCGACCTAAACTGAACACTATTCACTGGGGATCCAGTACAGAGAGAACACTGCGGTGCTCTGATCACGGCAACCCTTGCTGCTCAGCAGACAAACTGCTTTGTTTTGTAACAGTTGTTGCATTTCCCAAATAGTACAAAATGCAGGTTGCTGCGAACACCTCATTCCAGCCCCTTTTTCTAGGGTGAGACACTTCATTCTTAGATATGAGTTGTAGTTATCAAGCATGGAGGTGATGATTAAGCAGATCACCGTGGATAGGTCTGCGTTCAATAGGATGGAGTGTAAACTTCTGGACAGATGGAATGGAGAAAAACATGGGGCATTCTCTGAATCCTTCCCCATCCTGTCTATAGCTTCAACTGTTTAAATGCCTCCTCACTCACACTGTGGCTTTTCTCCCCTTTCCCGATTCCTTTCTTGCATCCTCTGTGGCTTCCTAGCCTCCCTAACTCATTACTTGCTCTCTCTGTGGATTCTTTACCTTACTCAATTCCCTTCCTAGTGCAGCTTCCCTCCCCAGGCACAAGGATGCTGGAATCGATGCTGTTACACCAGGGCTGAATTTAGCCCCATACATTGCATTGCCAAGAACTAGGTATGCAGGGTTCCTTGTTACTATATCACTTTCTTTAAATACACAGGCAGCTTAGAAATGATGTAACTGGTACTGATCCATGCAAAGCTTTGATCCAGAATTTGATGAAATACATCTTTTAACTGTTAACTAAAAATATCTAATTGGATGGAAGAAACTCCTATAGGAAAACAACTCATTGGGTTAAATTCAACTTTGGTGAAACTCCTACAGTACTGAAAGAAGCAGGGAGTTCTCAGCACACTCAGCCAAGGAAAAGAGAGAGCAGCAGGAGGCTGTTGCTTTATCCAAGCTAGGGAGAGGAGGTGTGTTTCTCCCACACTTTAACCCTTTGTTAAAAACAACTGTCACGAAGCCCTCCAAATCCAGCTGCCACACAAGTCATGTAGTTTAAGGGACCTTAGAGACATACAAGAGCACACACACAATGAAATGAAACAGAAGTTAGGGGCTTGATGCAGGAATTACTGGATTGAGGTTGTTATCCTGTGGTGTGCAGGTCAGTCACAATTGTCCCATCTAGCCTGAAATGCTATTAAACTATGAAAACAGAAGAATATTGAAGGAAACAAGTACAATTTTCATCCTGTCATACTATAACTCATTTCATTTCTGTAGTAGCCTTTAAAGAGGATGGCAGGGTGAGCAATATTCTAACCACCCTTCAAATAAGAATGAAATATAAATTGTCTCAGCAGCAACACTTAGCTGAAATACAGGATATAAAGAAAGCACCCCCCTCCCATCTGCTTCAAAACCAACTAAATGGGTAAAGCTCTGCTGTCTCATTTCCACATAATACGCTCAGTCCATTTATTGCACCAAATACTCCATTGCTGTTATTTACCATAGCATCATAGAAAGATAGAGCCAGAAGGGACCTTGGGAGGTCATCTAGTCCAGTCCCCTGTGTTGAGGCCAGGCCAAGTAAACCTAGACCATCCTTGGCAGGTGTTTGTCTGACCTGTTCTTAAAAACCTCCAAAGATGAAGATTCCACAGCTTCCCTTTGAAGACTATTCCAGTGCTTAACTATCCTTATGGTTAGAAAGTTTTTCCTCATCTCTACCTAAATCTCCCTTGCTGAAGATTAAGCTCATTAGTTCTTGTCTTGCCTTCAGTGAACATGGAGAACAATCAATCACCATCCTCTTTATAACAGCCTCTAAATTACAAATTGATTGTTTAGTAATTTGTTCCAGTATCTTTCCAGGTATCAAAGTTAGGCTGATTGGTCTATAGTTCCCCTTTTTAAAGATAGATACTATATTTGCCCCTTTTCAGTCCCGTCCTCCATGAGTTCCCAAACATGATCGCTAATGGTTCCAAGATTGCTTTGGCTAATTCCTTAAGTACCCCAGGATGAATTTCATCAGGCCCTGCCGACTTGAATACATCTAAGTTATCTAAATATTGTTGAACCCATTCTTTATTTTAGCTTGTGTTCCTTCCCCCTTGTTAATATGCATTGCAGTCATTACCAAAGGCAATATATAAAGAAAGATATCTGACCTGGTATAGTCGTCCTCTACAAGCATGTGCTTTGGAATCGGTGAGTATCTTCCTGGTGAGATAGGAGCCAAAGACGCCTTGTACTCTAAAGTGCCATTGTTGCCAGAAGTGAGTATATGATTTTCCATTGGTGGAGAATAAGCTGATGGTTAAAATAAGCAATTGTAGTTAGTGACATTCACATTTGGTTTGGTTGTGATGGTATTGTTTTCATTTAAGCACCAATAATGTGTTTGGTGCTGTACAAGACACAAAACACAGACAGTTCCTGCCTGAAAGAGTGTAAAATCTAAACAGGGCAGAGAAGGAATGAATGGCTAGCATTTTGTTTACTCACTCACTTTGTGTGGAGATTAAGGAAGGAGAGGATCTTTAGGAGGGATTTGGATGAGAAGGGGATGGCTTGGGAGACAGAAAGCAGGAAGGCATTTCATGAATAAATTCATGAATGCACAAAGGAATGGAGATAGTTGTAGGAGATAAGTAGATGAAAGGGGCATTTGAAGGCAAAGCATAGATTATAATTTAGGCAGGGATTATTCCAAGGATCATAGAGGAGTTGGGATCCCACTAAACTGAATTTTCAGTGCCAATTTAGATTGCATCATAATTTAGATCCCAGGAAAGGTTGTTAAGAAGAATGAAAGCTAATATAGATATGATATATGCTAATGATTAACAAAGACAGTACTATGCTGTTTGATTGTATTTTGCTTTGGGTCTCAAAGTAATGGTGATGGCTGGAAATATGTAATAATGGCTGTGACCAAATCTCTAATCCATGTAATCAGAGGAAAGGAAATACTAAGGAGGAAAATCAAAGACATGCTTTTGCACTGACTTATGATTAATTTCCTTTTGAAATGGAGGTGTTTAAACTTTCTAGTCATAGTTTCAATCCATTCTTTAGATGGTGAAATATTAAATATTTTAAGACCAAATGCTTTTATAGAGAAAGGTTATTCCTTGCTAAGAGACAAACAAACTTGTATGCACCCACCAATTACTGAAAGTCTTTTCAAGCTTCTTCCCCCCTGGAATTTCTGACCACTAATAATAATATCTAACTCTTAGATAGCACTTTTCATCAGTAGATCTCAAAGCATTTTTACAAAGGAGGTCAGTATCATTATCCCCATTATACAGATGGGGAAACTGAGGTACAGAGCAGTGATGTGACATCGCAAGGTAACCCAGCAGGTCAGTGGCACAGCTGGGAATGAAAACCAGGTCTCCTGAGGCCTATTCCAGTACTCTATCCATTAGGCAACACTGCCTCCCTAATCTTGCTCAACATCATGTGCTGCTTCACTATTTTTGAAATATTATTTTGGAAGACCAGATAATTCAAGGAATTAGTAAGGTGCTAGTGAGTCTTTTTTACTTCTTAGTCACTGGTAAGAAATCAGCCCAGATTAGTCGTTTACAAATACCATCACCAACTGTTGGTTGATTAGTAGCGTCTGCTAAATAAACAGATAGTCTAGGTCCAGGTCAGTGTAATATATAGATGTGCATGTTACAAAACCACCAATGCAGTTATCACCCTTTTACAGGCCTTGTGAATAGAAAGGACCATGATTAGCTGGTCCTGCCAGATCAGAATTGAGGAATAACGATGCAGAAGTGCAGATGTGCCTAATCTTTTACTTTTATAGGGAACCTTTGTCTTTCCACCCCTTTGCTGGCTTTATGGCCTCTGGTGACAATTGAATTTTTGGAAACTTGCTAGCATGAGCTGGGGTCAGTTGCTGAGACCCCCTACTCTCCTTATTTTGCAAGCCAATCAGATTGCCTCCCGGCTCATCTCTCTCCTCCAGTGAGAGACTCAGAGGGAGCTTAAAGCCAGGGAGCATTTACTGACTAATTGGCAAAAGGAGGGAATCGGCAGCAGTCCAGAAGATGCACCAAAGTGGCATGGATTACTCCTGCCTGCTGGCCGGGAGAAGGGAAGCTGAGCAGAAGAGCCTGGAGCCTCAGTGACAAAGTGCCATCCCAAAGAATGGGGTACTGGGGAGGGGAGGACTACATGCACATTAGGAAGGGATGCACTGAGTGCAAGAGGAAGCACTGCCGCACGGTTGGGTGGAGAAGCAGAGGATGGATATAAATAAGGGAGCGGATGGATAGGGAGCAGAGGGGCATTAGTATGCTGATGTGTGGGGATGTAACTGATAGATTTGGAGGGCAATTATGTAGCAGGACAATCATTTTATGCTGGATGCAAATACTGTATAAATTACAAGTCCAGTGAATGCAAATGGTCCTGCTTTGAGCAGCGGATTGGACTAGATGACCTCCTGAGGTCTCTTCCAACCCTGATATTCTATGATTCTATGAAACGTCATGTCAATTTTTCCTCAGGCTTTTTGTTTGGTGAGTCCATATATGCCAGTGGCGGCTCCAGGCACCAGCACTCCAAGCGCGTGCCTGCGGCGGCAAGCCGCGGGGGGCGCCCTGACGGTCCCTGCGAGAGTGGCAGTCAGGCAGCCTTCGGCGGCTTGCCTGCGGGAGGTCCGCCGGTCCTGTGGATTCGGTGGCAATTCGGCGGCGGGTACGCCGAAGCCGCAGGACCGGTGGACCTCCCGCAGGCATGCTGCCAAATCCGCGGGACCGGGGACCTCCTGCAGGCAAGCCGCCGAAGGCAGCCTGCCTGCCGTGCTTGGGGCGGCAAAAAAGCTAGAGCCGCCCCTGATGTAGGCAAGTCTTCTGCTGCCTGTGTTGTACCTGTCCTGTGGACTGAGCACTCCTCTCTCCACATCTGTTAATCCAGGACCTCTCAAAATATTACATTGACGTAAAAATGTTTTCCCCTTAATTGTTACAAAAGATACAGTGTACCTGCCTAAAGTTCAACAATAGCATTCTGGAATAAATTTGGTGGTGCAGTTATCTTGTTAACACTTTTTGCAGCACAAGTCCAGAATTATTTCAAATATAACATATCATGACAGTATCATATCTAAATAACAGTTCCATTTTTCAGCCTTCCAAGCCCTTGTAAAAGCTTCGCTGATGTCCTGGTATTTGTCTAGATTTGAAAAGTCTAAACAATCACTTAAAACATGATATCACATATGAAATAATATGCAATGAGGCACTTACAGTGAGTAATATCTGGTGGGCCATAAGGGTCAGTCATGTAAATGGTAGTGGGCTTTCCAACTTTTAGATAAACTACATCCGATGTGTTCTTCAATATTGCTACTGCCTCTTCATGAGTTACTTCTTCTAAACTGTAATTATTTACCTTAAAGGAGAAATTAGACAGATGAGTAAGGCTGGATAGATACAGAAGAAATATCCATATTATCTGTACAGTTATCAATGATGGATTAAGAATTGTAGACAAAAGGTGCTGCAGATTATAGAATAGTAACATTATTATACAATAAAGAAGAAAAATCAGATTAAGGTATTTTCTTGGCCCACCTATCTCCTATGTCTTATTTAGCAGTATTGGCAATCCCCAAGCTGTAGTACCATAGCCCAGTGTAAAGTGCTAGATATGCCATTGTGTCTGCTCCAGTACGACACTACCAGGGTCATCATTAGCAGAAACATAACAAGAAACTGAAATAGCTTAATAGCGAACTGTGCACCACAGGATGCAGGGGATAGGTATACATCAGAGCAGCCACTTGTGATATTGATTATCAGCATCTGGTTGTTGGCAGTAAAAGCCCAAACCACATTCTTATTAACTACTTGGATACTTGATGCTGCTGCACCCATGCACTAGTTCCTAATGGGACCTCATAAGTGAGTGACACCCTAAAATCTCTTTTCCCATTAACTTAAATGGATAGTTGGAAAGTTAAGCAGGGGAGGAAGGGAGACAAAAATAAGAGACTACTTTGGAGAGGTGGGGAGTGAACAGCGGCAGCTGTGGAGTTGGGAAGGGAGGGTTTGAAGGTGAAAAATGTGACCGTTTTCTGGAGCTGTAGGTAGAAAGACACTGAAATAGTGAGAGGGTAGGTGATTATAGACACAAGGTGTGGGCTTGATGCAGAGAAATATATCAGGTGCACCAGGGCATAGCAAAGAGGAGTATAGACAAGGTGGGGAAGGGAATTGTGTCAATAGGAGCTGCTAATCTAGATTACTCCTCTAGAAAAATTTTATGCAGGAGAAAAGGTCTTGTATATTTAGAGGCATGAGCACTCTACTGCATAAAGGTACTTCCTATTATATTCATGTGCAAGGGAAATTAATTCATTAGGAAAGGGAACCAAGATATATTATTCATAATGAATCATGTTTATTACAGTAGTGCCTAGAGACCAACCAAGGATGGGGCCTCATTGTGCTAGGCATATACACAACACAGACTAGTAGACAGTCCCTGTCCGGAAGAGCTTACAATCTGCACTGACAAGAGTGCCACAGGCTATTGGGAAAGGGGCAAGGATAGGGATATAGATCCATATTGATATAGATTTCATGCAAATGACTGGTATGCAGAAGTGACTGCTATTAAATCTCTCATGCTTATTTATATACTTTAAAAAAGGGATTCAAACCCTGAAAAATCAACTTTTGACTAATCTACGTAAGCACTGTTCCTGGCACAGCTACCCTCTTGTTTCCCTTTCCCTACATCCTCTGGTACATACCTTTGTGTTTTGTCTTAATTCAGATAATAAATTTTTTGGGGGAAAATCCTAAAACCATCATGAAATTGAATAGAAAGATTCCTTAATGTGAGATCTGTTTTCATTTTCAGATAGGCATGATGAGACAAGTGTCATGTTCGTATTAATTGAAGTTTGTAACATGGAGACTCAGAGAAACCATAAAGAAAATAAATACATCAGTCAAGACAAGTGAGATAAAGCTACAAATGAGAGTTTCACAAAGCAAACTTGTTGGGGGAAGCAAAACACGAAGAAATGGTCAGAACTATAAGGACATGCAGATTGCCACTTGCAAAAAGTAGTTGGTCACAAATATTTGCAATACTTTTGTTTATCCTCGTAACAAATACACTTCTACCTCGATATAACGCGACCCGATATAACATAAATTCGGATATAACGCGGTAAAGCAGTGCTCTGGGGGGAGAGGGGGGGCGGGGCTGCACACTCCGGTGGATCAAAGCAAGTTTGATATAATGCGGTTTCACCTATGACGTGGTAAGATTTTTTGGCTCCCGAGGACAGCGTTATATCGAGGTAGAGGTGTATGTGAAAAATATACATTTTGTTCTCTCTAACTATAGGACTCTTCAGAATGCTTGGAACACTGATTAACACTCTCTAACTATAGGACTCTTCAGAATGCTTGGAACCCTGATTAACAGTGTTTGAAGAATGAAGAAAAGGTTAAACAAGACTGAAATCAGCCAACATCCCATCCTATCTATTAGGATAAAAGCTATGTCTACACTACGAACTAGGGGTGTGATTCCCAGCTCACATACATACACTCGTACCAGCTCAATGAGAGCTAGCACACGTATAAATAGTAGAGTAGCCACAGTAAGACAGGCTGTAAGTACATACCCATGAGGTTCAGGTGGGTACACTGCTGTTTATACTAGCTCTAATCAAACTAGCACAAATACATGTATGTGATCTGGGAATCACATGCTTAGTTCATAGTGTAGACATAGCTGAAGTCTCCCAGCAGCACACCCTGTCCCTAACAGGCATCTATACAAAATGTACTACACAGAAAATTGGAAAACAGTCCTTTTAAGGTGCTTGAAATTTGTTCAGCTCTATCCATTATGTGTTTGGCACAGCGCATAAGAAGTTTTTCATTCAATATGTAGACTAATAGCCTCTTTCAGATTTGAGAAAAGCTTTTGTTCTCCATTGCAGAATCATGAAATCCAAAGAGATGTGTGGCCTCTTGCTATGCCTACTGGGTAAGATCAGTGATCAAACTAAAAAGGACTCCATTTCAATCCCAGTAGTCTTTTCTTGCATTAAACAGCTCTGGCCCAGTCTGAGACAAAGATTTATCATTATATCAAATATGTACCATTAGTGTGTACTGCACTGGAAACTGTTTCTTGTTTTTTCTGTCAAGTTCTTAGCCACGATCTCAGACCTTTTCCTCCCACAGAAGTGCAGTACTCCCAGCATCTAAGATAATTGGACCGGGGGGAAAAGTGTGTTGCCCTTCTGCCAACTGGTAGCAGACTTTCAGGGCCTGCTAGGTCAGTTTCTGTCTGGAGCAGAAATTGGTGCTGTCAAGTCAGGTATTTTCATAGTGCACCTTATTTCTACAAAATGCAGATAAGTTTTATTTCCTTTCACAGGGATGATAACATATAGCACATAGGCAACTCCCTCTCGCAGAAACCTCAGCTCAGGTATCTGTGCCGTGCTCTAGAGGAAGTTACCGTGTGCTTCTGTCTCTCTCTCCAGGGCCTCACAGCTTATACTCTGTGCTCCTTTTTCTCCCTCAGCCCCTTCACTTTTCATCTAGAAAATCTCCTGTCCAATGCTGCTCACAAACACCATATGACTTGGAAAGGTGGGTCTGAGCATCTATCTTCCTTTTGTGCAGTGGCTTTGTAATACAAAAGATGCAATCAGACGGGTCTAATGACCTAGAGCAGTGCTGGGCAAACTATGGCCCGCGAGCCGTTTTAAGCCGGCCCGTGAGCTCCCGCTGGGGAGCCAGGTCGGGGGCTGCACCACGTGGCTGGGTCTCACTCCAGCGCTCCAAACCCCTCGATCCCAGCACGGAGCACCCTCCTGCACGCCAAACCTCTCATCCCCAGCCCCACCCCAGAGCCCACATCCCCAGCTGGAACCTGCACCCCTTCCCGCACCCCTGCCCTAGCCCTGATCCCCCTCTGAACCCCTCGGTCCCAGCCCAGAGCACCCAACCCTAATTTTGTGAGCATTCATGGCCCGTCATACAATTTCTATTCCCCGATGTGGCCCTCAGGCCAAAAAGTTTGCCCACCCCTGACCTAGAGTAACTGCACCAAGAGGGCAGTCAAGAGAGTTGTGTGAGCTAAAGAACCCAACTTTGTCTCGTTCTAATGGCCTAGACAAAGGATAGTACACACAATGCCACTGATGATTCTTGGGGTGCAGTTACTCCAGGGTATCTCTGGCTCCCTCTATAGCAAATTTCACCCACCCTGGGTGCTTGTACATCAGTGACCCTTAGTGTGCAAATCATTAGCACCTTTCACTCTAACAGGGGAACAAAAGACTCTCCCCTCCCAAACACTCCTGTTATCAGTTTAGAAACTCGGCATAGGAACATGCTGTACCATTTCTCAATAGCCCCTAGAAGGCTGTAAGTATTAAGATGTCTGTTCTCACTCTCCATGTAAAACTCATGTTAACACTGATGAGAGTTCTGGGTGCATGGAGGGTCCAACTAACTTTTCTATTTTTGCTCCATATAAGAAAGTGACCACTAATAATGAAACTTGAATAGATCTTTCTCCACACAAGCATGAAAACATGCATTTATTAAAATATCTTGTTCTCTGACTCCTTAAACACTACTCAAAGATGTGCATAGTATCCCAGCTTTGAGAAAGAGAATCATCTAGATACCTTTCTATGAACCATTCCACCTACCATTTTCACAGAAAAAGGATGTCATACAGGAGATACAGACTGTTAAGAAAAATTAAGCTTTGGTTCTTCTTTCTGATTAGATAAACAGTTAGATTAATAAGGAGGGATGTATCCCTCTCTCCCCACCCCACCCACTCTCCAAGAGAAAAGGATTTTGCCTCTGTTTCTTAACCAAAAGAACAATGCACCTTATTTTGACAGCATTTCAATTACCACCAAGGTCACTTAACTACGTCTACACTGCGGACCTTACAACGGCGTGGCTGTGCTGCTGCAGCAGGACCATTGTAAGGTGCGCCGTGTAGCTACTCCTTATTGCTGGGATAACCACCTCCAACGAAGGGCAGTAGCTTTGTGGAAGTGCCAGTGTAGACAAAGCCTTAAGCTGCCTGCACTCCAATGGCTGTGGCAGAGCCAATGTATGGTAGGATAGAGGAAAATGAGATTTGAGACATATCAGTCAGAGGTAAGGGAGACTGTGAGGGAAACAGGGACAAAATAAAGTGAGGAGTGTACTGTATGGTCTATGAAGTATGGAAACATTTGTGCAGAAAGGTTGACATAAGAGCTGTGCGGTTCTTGTGCCATCTAAGTGAGGACATTCATGCGCTCTAGAAAGCCAGCTGAAGTGAGACAGCAAATGAGTGAGGAGGAAATTGGATGAATACTAATATAAAGGAGCTTATCTGAGTAG